ACTAATACAGCTTTCAAATGCATTCTGGCACATTGGAATGGAGTTCTCATTCAAACATATATGAAAGTTCATATGGAGGATTTGTCATGTAAATGATGCGTGAGCTGAAATGTTGGAAAACAAATGTTTGGACCTGGTTGGGTCTCATCAGCTGCACTACGAATGCATCAACCCAGCTGGGGATCGAACTCGGGACCTCAAAAGTCCTAGAACGCAAGCTTACCATTCACTCGGCCACCGGGAAGCAGATCAGACAGCTGATCATACAAGATATAGCACAACCCATCATTTTGAGCTCGTTGTGAGTATTGCGCCTCGCTCATCTCAGCACTGGCCTCCAGGGTTACGACACAGTCGGAAATTTTCGAGACAGTTGTACAGTGCTTCCCAGCTTTTCAGCTCACACCTCATTTACACAAACAATTCTATATATAAACAAATCAAATCCTCCAGTACTCTCATACAATTTATGAAAAATGGCTTTATTGAATTTCCCGGTCATACAATACATCTTCCCTCTATCTGGTTTAGCAACGTCCGGTATCATTCGAGTACTGATTTGATTCAACAGCTCATTGTTTAGTAACAGTCATCTATGAGTGTTTTCAGTAGGAATTAGCAGTTTTTCCACACATCCCAGTTTTGTGCTCATGTCAGTCTGTTTAACTGTCAGGCATTTATTAAATCAAAATTTTAATCTGATGAACTACTGACTGTTTTGGTTCATCTACACGACAATTAAATAAAACATAATAAATTGAATCGCCTAAATTCAAAATTGAAAATTATCCGAGAAAGGATTGTTAACTGGAAGCGTGAGTGTATGGTCCCGCGTTCGTCACACTCCGTCGTGTTATAATCAAAATCAATAGGGATAAATTAAATGGTCCCAAGGAACGGGTGCTCGTTTACGGTAACCAAAAATTGCACCCCTGAGATTTTAATGGATAGTATGAAAATATCAGAGAACTGGTTGATGATGGTGGTGACATTTGACATCTCTACTACACAGTTTTTCACTGATAGGGAGTTCAAACTTCGAACTGTAGAATATCGGGGCATTACAAAGATGGCCAATGCAACTGTTTACCTGCCACCCATCCACCCACACCAGCAGGTTGCAAATACGCTAGATACATAATAAGAGATTTGAAGATATTATGTGAAAGTATATGAAAAATCAATCTGACAATCTACAGTAAGACGAGTTGCATTTGCGGTAAACCAATTTAAATGTAACCAATTTCTGGGAGCTATTGGCAGATAAGTTTTTACTTCACTGTCTCGGTGATTGAGTTTGATTCTCCATATGCCCGAGTTCCATTTCCCTCCCAATGTATGGCAAAGGGGTTCGTGTTTCACTCTACCGTCACTTTTTCTACCGTACGGACGTCCACACTCACGTGAGCTTCGGAAGACCAAGTGCCTGCACCGTCTGACTAAGCGGTGTGGTCCAAAGCCGAAGCTATGAATCGAACCTCAATTCGCTTAATCTGATCAATCTGTCTCTTTCTCTGTCTCTGGTGGAAACATTTCAAGCGAAACTCTATTTAAATTCTGATTTAAACCCAGAATATCGGTACCTATTAGTCGAACTTTCCTGTTCGCGCACCAGAACAATTCGCTGGAAACCCAGTTTCCCCAACACCCAGTTCACACATCAAAGTCAATCATTTAAGGATCCCTAAGGAAGAAGGAAATACTGGGATGAGGCATAAGCCTCACATCGAGTGGTTTTGAATCTCTGCACTAAACTCATCAATACATTTCAAGTGAGTAATGGAAGATTTGATTCAATTTCAAAGGGAAAATTCGTTGTGTACATGGCAAATGAAGCGTGAACTAAAACGTTAAGAAGCATTGGGCAGCTGTTTGGACCTGGTTGGGTCTCATCAGCTACAGTGCGAATCCATCGACCGAAGTGGGGATCGAACCCGGGACCTCACAAGTAGTTGAACACAAGCATACTACCGACATGGCCACTCTGGGGCAGCTGATCAGACCGCTTTTCATTTTCATCAATATGTTTTGGTCCAATTCACCTAGCTAATATCGTATCGACAAAACTTTGATATTATTCCCGGGGAATTGGTTCACCCATTCGGTCACAGACAGATGGAATCTTTTGTGCAATTTGATGTAATAGTATGCTATGTTTCCGTGTTTAGAACGCAGCAAGTCAGATGTGGTGGTTCTGAAGTTTCCGGTCGATAACAATCGCGGATAATTTATTACGAGTGTGATATTGCACCACGAATTCTCATTTTGTGTCAAAACAACTCTTACGGTTCCGGTAGTCATGCCGATTTGATGTTGTCTGGAAAAATCTTGTTTGTTTGGTCGGTTGGTATAGCTGTGGCCTGTTTTGTGGAATACTCCCTTTACCGCTGTGACCTGATTGTGTTTAGCATAGCGGGACCAATTTTCTATTTCGATGTTCCTTCGGCCAACACAATTACCGAGATCGAACTCCACGACACATTCATCTGTGCGCCTCTCGACCAAAGACCTCCTACCGCCTACTTTAGTGTCTCACGACGGTGATCGACTGTGCTCATTATCACACAAGGGTCATAGTGTTTCACTTGTTGCCATGACAAACGCGTTCATCACATGTACATTGGTATGCAAATTGACCGAGGGAATGGAGAGGTATGGATAAAATCCACTCACCACCGTACCGTGAACAAGATTCGCACCATACTCAACATGCAGTACCAAGAGGAGGAGGACGATGATGATGATGTTAGCATATCAGTTTTGCGTGCGTGGCGCGTGCGTACACACCCACACACACACACACACACACACACACATGCATACTGGTGAATGAATGACCTGAACTGCACCTCTCCCGCCTCCGCCCCCCCCCCCTCCCCCGCCCTCTCTC